GTGGAAAAAAAAAAAAAAAAAAAAAAAAAAAAAAAAATCAGCTCAATAGCAAGCATGAGAGAGAAGCGTAAGCTTCCTTCAGGGAGCTGTGTTGCGTAATTATTAATCGAATCTCTCCTTTTTAAGATGTTGTTGTATTTGTTTGTTTGTTTAGAGACAGGGTCTCGCTATGTTGCCCAGGTCAAGCAATTCTCCTTCCTCAACCTCCCAGTGTTTGGATTACAGGTGTGAGCCACCGCACCTGGCCTTTTTTGCTTTTGGTTAGGACAACCACTTTTCACTAGTGAGACCTTAAAATAACATATTACACTAATGTAAACATTTTGTAAGAAACAAGTCAAATATTACCCCTGGTAAAATTGCTTGGGTTGTGCCTTTGTGGAGAGAGAGAGAGACTGAGATTCCTGGCACATAGTTCGATTTTAAATTTAAGTTAGCTGCTCTGTGAACCTGGTATATACACAACAAAGAGGGGTGCATCTCTGAGAACCCCAGAAGACATAATGATTGTGCACTGCAGCTCTATTATTGGCAGAAGCTGGAAACCAATCAACTACTCATGGAAGAACAAGAAAAGCTAAGTACTGTATGATTCCATTTGCATGAAATGTAAAAAGAGGCGAAACTAATCTCTGGTTAGAAGCAAGACTAGGCCGGGCGCGGTGGCTCATGCCTGTAATCCCAGCACTTTGGGAGGCCGAGGCGGGCAGATCACAAAGTCAAGAGATCGAGACCATCCTGACCAACATGGTGAAACCCTGTCTCTACTAAAAATACAAAAATTAGCTAGGCGTGGTGGCATGCACCTATAGTCCCAGCTACTTGGGAGGCTGAGGCAGGAGAATTGCTTGAACCCAGGAGGCGGAGGTTACAGCAAGCCGAGACTGCACCATTGCACTCCAGCCTGGTGACAAAGCAAGACTCCGTCCCCTGCCTCCCCCACTCCCAAAAAAAAAAAAAAAGACTAGCAGTTACTTCTGAGGGAGGGGAGTAGGTGTTGGGAGGGGGCCACAGGGGGACTTCTGCGGGGCTGGAAATGGTCTAGATCTTGATGGCAGGAGTATTTACACCACAGAAATTATCAAACACAAGGCCTGGCGTGGTGGCTCACACCTGTAATCCAAGCACTTTGGAGGCCAAGGCGGGTGGATCACCTGAGGTCAGGAGTTCAAGACCAGCCTGACCAACATGGTGAAACCCCATCTTTAAAGAAAAAAAAAAGAAATTGTCAAACACAAAGCCCCCACCACCCCCCACACCACCAATGGAGCCAAGACTTAAGACATTTTCCAATTTACC